TTCGGACAAACGCTAGCTCTATGGGTTGGAAACGGAAATGAGCACTGCCCCCTAGAGTTGGACACGACTGGACAAATTGTCAAGGGGAACCTTTACCTTTACCTAAAAGCAGCTAAGTACAGTGGTGCCTCGCTTAACGAGCGCACCGTATAACGACAAATCCGCATAGCAATCCCTTTTTCAGGATCACTAATGCGGAGGCATACTGACAGTCGCAATGGGCAAAACTCGCATAGTGACAATCGGTAAGCGTTTTGCTTACCAATCTTCGCTTTGCGATGCCCGCGGATCAGCTGTTAGGCAGTTCCAAAATGGCCGCCGGAAGCCCCGAAATGGCCACGCGCTGCGTTTTTGCGCCCTCCCCTCGCTTACCGAGGGTGTGAAAATGGCTGCCACTGTGGAGGAAACTGCTGAACGGTAAGTTTAGGGCCCATTGGAACGCATTAAATCATGTTTAATGCGTTCCAGTGGGTTTTTACGTTCCATTTAGCGATGTTTTCACATAGCAAGGGTTAATCCGGAACGGATTAACCTCGCTATGCGAGGCACCACTGTAATCATTTATAAAGTCAGAAGTTGGACAGAAACTCCCAGAAGCCTTCAACTGCTATCTGGTGGGATTCCTGGGAATTGTAGTCCAAGAATACTCGAAGACCCAAGGTTGGGAACCCCTCATTAGAACTAAGATCAGGGAAACCAAGGCTGGCCTCCCTTCTCAGCCTCAGAGCTTAGTGGATGATCTTGAGCTGCTCCCGTGCTCTCAGGCTAACCTAACCTGAGTTGGCCTAAGGCTGCGGTTCGCAATCTTGGGTGACCCCGGCGTTCTTGGACTGCAATTCCCAGAAGCTTTCACAACCCGCCAAGCTAACCAGAGTTTTTGGATTTGGAATCCAAGAACACCTGAGTGACGCGAGGCTGAGAAGCACTGGCATGAGGGTAAAATGAGGGAGTGAAGTCAACTCTATAGGTCTAGAGTAGTGGTTCTCAACCTGGGGTCCCAATCCAGATGTTCTTGGGCTGCATTTTCCCAGAAGCCTCCATCACCAGCTGTGCTAGCCAGGATTTCTGGGAGTTGCAGTCCAAAAACATCTGGAGATCCAAGTTTGAGAACCATTGGTCTAGAACAGGGGTTCCCAAACTTTTTTGAGCTGTGACCCTTTTCTGATAGCCAAGTAACCTGTGACCTCCTCCCCCCTTGCCACATTTGCACAAAAAGGCATTTTTAATGGGGAAAAGTCAGAAAACAAGTTTCTTTCTCCCCCAAAGGGTCTGTTTCTCATGCACGCTAACCTTAATATCCTGCTCTGAAAAGTCGAGGAAGAAATTATTTAAATTATTAAATTTATTTATTTAAGTGAGATTTAGTGTAAATTAAGGAAAACATTCTGTACAGTCCCCTCTTGCTCCCTACTGGAGCTTGAATCAGGGATTGAGAGGGCAAAGAGAGATACAGCCATTCTGAAATTTTGGGACGGCCTGGTTGTAGAGACTTGCTTTTGCGGGGAACAGATGGAAGGGACATCCAGCTACAGTCGCTGCACTTTTTGACAGTGAACACACCATTTCTTGTATTAGCCAAAAGTTAAGGCCTGACGAGCTTTATTTTCCTAGAACTGTAGAGTTGGAAGGGATCCTAAAGATCATCTTGTCTGACCCCCTACCTGTGGAGGAGATTGACAGCTAATACGTTTCCAAGGGATGGCTGTCCAAACCACTTTTTAAAAACCTCTAAGTCTGTACCGCTCACCTACCACAGAGAGAATCTGCTCGGAATTTACTCCTAATGTTTAGTCCGAATCACATACATTGAAGCCATGTGTTCAAGTCTTACCCACAGAAGCTACAGAAGACGCTTTTGATCTGGGTAGGACCATTTTTCACCTTGGTGACTGGCGGATCTAAATTTGACCCTATTTCACCCATCCTGGCCTGCCTATATTGGCTGCTGGGCCAAATTCAAGATACTGATGTTAACTTATAAAGCTCATTAGGGTTTAGGACCTCGCTACCTGTTGGGGTGCCTCTCCCTCAGGTCATTCCCCCCCCTCGTCCGTCTTGCACTTCCCGGGCCTTGATGCTGCAGGGGGCCACTCCGAAAGAGGCTCAGAAGCCGTCAGCCAGTGGCCGGGCCTTCTCGGTTGTGGCCACCCCACTCTGGAACTCCCTCCCTCCCTGTGACCCCCACAACCTCGCCTTTTTTAAAAAATATATTTATTTATTTATTTATTTAACTTATATGCTGCCCACACTACCCAAAGGTTTCTGGGCGGCTTACAACGATTAAAAATTCAATAAAAAGACAAAACAATTAAAATGCAATTAAAATATATACTCTAAAAATTGCCATCAGGAAAGTTTGTGAAGAAAAAAGGGGATAGGGCTATTCAGGGAGATATGTTCTGTTATTGATACAATTGTGTTTTTATTATAAAGCTCACCCCTTTGTCATCTTAATTTTGTACTGAATTTATGCCAGCCTATAGTTTGCCAAACAAGTTTTTGTTTTGATATGCCCAATTTTTTTTAAAAAATGTTGTAGAATATATTTTTGTTCTTTCTGTTATTTCCTGGAAGCTGCCCAGAGTCGTGGCTTGTCCACTAAATGGGCCAGGCACTAGTTTAAACAAAGAAAGAAAGAAAGAAATTAGGCGCTGCTGGATAGCTGAGTGGTTTAGGCATCTGGCTG